CCTGAAACATAATGACTTTTGGAAGTCAGGTCTAGATAATTTCCATGTGCTGCTTTGATCTCTTCCTTCCTTCCCGAGAGGTCAAAGCAGCTCATGGAAATGATGTAGAGGCAAGGGAGAACTCAAGAGCCCCCGCTCTTCACAGGAAACATTGAGAAAATGTCATGAGTGAAGCAGCAGAGGGATCAAGGCTGGGTCAGGTTACACGTCCATTCAGCAAACACGTTCTAAGCATTGTAATGAGCACCAAGTTCTGAAACACACCGGAAGAGAAGAGATGCAGTGTTCCCAGATCTATTGTCTAGTCTGGAAGAGGTCACAGGCAGAGGGGGAGCTGTGGCAACCTGGGATAAAGGTAATGGGGAGTTGCCACAGGAGAAACAGATAGGCTCTGGGGAGCTCCACAGAGGGCGCAACGTCTACTCTGGTCCTTCAGGAATGTGGAGCAGTTTCCTAGGGGTAACATGATGAGACGATAGGAAAGGTTGGAGGGCTCGAGGATGAGATTATGAGAAAATTCCAGGGAAGAGGAAGGAGAGATGAGACTGGCCAGGGCTACCTCTCTTGCTTAGACCATTGCTCTTCATTCCTTATCCCCAGGGCACAAACTCTGCCTCAGCCTGTTTAGGGATTACAAGTCCTCAAAGTGCCCTCAGCGGGGTGGCTTTCTGCCAGAGTTATGATCCTCACTAATAATGTAGGATCATATGTAGCAAGAAACACGCACAGAGACACACATACGTACACACACACTTTGGCTAAGTGTGGTGGCACAGGCCTGTAATCCCAGAATGAGGGAGACAGAGACAAGAAGATCATGAGTTTGAGGCTTGCCTGGCCAACCATAACATGCACTGTTTCTGAAGCAAAGCAAGAAGACAAATAATCAAAAGCCAAGGGTACACAGCTGCACCCTGAAGATGCCATTCATCTTTCAAGCTCTCCATCATTTTATATAACCAGTTAGAGACAGAGAGAGAGGGAAAAAACCTGCCAACTAAACAGTAGTGCCTATCAAAAGGAAGTCACATCTGGATTTCAGAATGTTAAAAATGTGAAGAAAAAAGTCATGAGTCGCTGGAATCTGGCAATGCTAATGCTTATGATATGTGCACATTTGGAAAAGACAACTTATTTTTATGGCTTGTAAGTCTTCCCAGGCCAAAGGAAAACACCACGATACCTCTTGTATGCTTGGTTGTGGGGGAACTCCAGGGTTCTCGGCATCTGACATCCTGTGGGGAAGAGAGACCACCCACTCTTCTCTGGACAGGAAAGTAGATGGTGAAACATCACTGGAGAGAGACCCTGTCTCCCAGGAGCGCTCTGCATTGTGCTGAAAGGGCAGGGCACACACTGAAGACTGTGCTGCTATCCTCACCCACTGCTAAAGCCCAGGAAAAGCCCCAAATGGTGCCAGTCACTCCACTGGATCGGCTGGCTGGCAGGCTGAAGGGACTGTTGCCGTTTGTGCCTTGGGTTGCCCTTATATGCTGCCTTTCCCTCATTTTGCAGCCTGAGAAGGTAACAGAACATTCCAAAGACATTTGTGGGCTCCCAGGCAGAGCAGGATGGGGTTTTGTCCATCAGGCATCTGTGAGGTAGAAAAGAGGCCATGTACAATGTTCCCCCATCCACCTGTCCCATCACAGCAGGGCACACAGCCCAACTTGAACTTGGAGGCTCTCAATGCATTCTCATTTGGGTCTTCTGCTTAATGTCCAGTTCTGGAAGCCAGCACAGACATGTATTCCCAGGGTAAGCACTTAGCAAACACCATAGACTCCTCAGAAGACTCCAAGCCACATCCCTCACAGGGCTATAAGGAGGATCAAATAATATAAACTAAGCAAGGCACATTAGAAAGCACGTAGCAAACAGGACAAGTGCCCTTAGCAGTGGAGGGAGGGGTGCAAAGGGGGAAACGCTGACCCCACTGTTTGCCCACCTCTGGCCATGAAGCTCATGGCCTTGTGTTTGTCTCCATAGCTCCCGTGCACCAACTTGTCCAGATTGAATCCCTCAGAGAAGGAATCGTGACCTGGAAAACATACCACACGTATATTAAGGCTTCTGGAGGTTTGGTATAAAACATCAGGTTTCTTGATTTAATTTGCATTTAAAAAATGTGCTTTTAAACTGTTGGGTTTATGTTTTTATGATTCCTTCACCAATTACTCTTTTTATGCTTATGCCAGGGCTGCTTATCAGTGCTTTCATTTTCCTCCTAAAACCTAAAGTCTGATAATACAGCCCTTTAAATGGAGTCATTTTTTATCTCCATTAAAGCTGCCAGGTTCTGTTTTATTGGAGCTGAGTGGGCAGCAGCCAGGAGCCATTGATGGTATACACACACACACACACACACACACACACACACACACACACACACACACTGATTGCTGAGCATAGCTGTGATCAGCTCATCACACGAAACTGTCTGCATGTACAAGTCTCTTCCAGCAAGACTGGAGATTTGGATATATGTATATTTTTAGAGACGGTGTCTATGTGTAGCTCAGGCTGGCCTCAAACTTGTGATCTACTTCCCCAAGCATTCTCAGACCTGGAAAAACAGGCTGGTCCCATCAGGCTGCACTCTTGGCTTGCTTTTAGTGAATACTGTATTGCTCCTATTAAATGGAACAGCAAATGAGTACAGTATCACATGCCTGTAATCCCAGCGTTGGGGAAAGCTGAGGCAGGAGGATCATGATTTTAACCATTGTTTGAGGTTAGCCTGGTCTGTATTTCAAGAGCCTGTCTCACACAGACAAACAAAAAAATTTTTTAAGATGGTTAGGTTTTTCTAACACATTGACATTTGGTTCTGCTTTCAATAAAATGGGACAGATGTCCTTATTGGGGTGCAGGGGCTCAACAAGACATCTTGAGTCAACCTAGCATTCAAACACTTCTGGCAGGGATCTTTTCTCTACAGGCTTTGACTTTCGGGAATCCTAAGGGTGAGGCTCGGGGTAGACAAATCTGCCACTGGCTCTCACATCTGCCACCCATCTGCAACCCCCCCTTTCTCCGGCAGGGTACCTGGCCTCCTTCCTGGTACTGTGCCTCTTCTTCCTGATGATGGGCTGCTCTGCTTTCAGCACCTGGTGGCTGGGGCTCTGGTTAGACAGGGGATCCCAGGTGAGTTTCCTTTGACAATGCCGAGTCTATATCTGGAAACAAAACTAAACAGAGCTTGCCAAACAGAGAATGACACCCAGTGTTTTCCCTTTGTCCCCTGCCCCTTTTGGAGACACTGAGGCCAGTTTCTGGGCCATATAATTCAAATTCTTGAGATTTTTTTCCTTGCTTTTCAAAATAAGCAAGGCAACTGGAAGTTTTGCATGAACAACTTCAGGTAAAAAACGGTTTGCTGAAAAATGATGGTTCCAATGCGTGTGGTCACGCACGTCCAGAGCAGGGTAGTATAAGTCTGAAGTTTCCGAGGAGGAGGGACAGAGAGGGGCCTAGAGAGATGAAAAAGATTGGTGTATCTCAGACTCTGGAGAGAAAGTGCCATCTTGTCATGGATACCGATTAGTGCAAGAAGGTTCTTACATGGCTCTACTCTCCAAACTCGCCTTAGCAGGGGGCCTGAAAGAGATGCAGCCTCGGAAGTGCTCCACGGCCATCAGGGGCCTTCCATTTCTCCTAAGGTTTCCATCGTTGCCAGGGCCCTTCCTGGGTGGGACCAATACATTCTTTCCTCCAGCTTGCTAGAATCTTCCCTGGTTGTTGGATGTCACTTTCAAAGCTTTCCAGGGAAGTGCTGTAGGGGTTGCCTGCTCATCTCCCCAGATTTTACGGTGGTACCACTTTGTTGCTGTGACATCAAAGTAAGGATGCCTGGGTGTGGGGGAGGAGAGAAGCTGTCCTTATGCATAGGGCAGTGAGATGCCCGTTCTGTGAAGATAAATCGAGATCTGTTTTCAAATATGTGTATTTTTTGACGTCCCCTGCTTATGGAGATTCTGTGCATTCCTCAGAGAACCTCAGATGTAAGGTCAAGTGGAGCCATCCCCTAAACTCAAGGCTTCCTCAAAAGGTCCCTGAACACGCAGCAACAGTGGCGTGCCCCTGTGGTTGTTTCTGACCTTCAGTGTTGTGGCTACAAGCTCCAGCACAGAAAAGCCTCCTCTGCAAGCTGAGCCTTTCATCAGCTAACCCCCAGGGATGCTTTTGCCTCGACAGACGCTCATCCATCAGCCACCTCTGGTTTACATTTCCCCATTACTGTAATCAGCAGAATGGCATTTAGAAGAAACATGTTTGTCTGCTCCCCAAAGGCATCCTTGACTTTTAGCACATAGCCCAGAGAAAAATGAAACTGTCAATTTCTCAGCAACAGGGGAAGATGGCCCCTCTCCAGAAAATGCTGGTGAAGTTGTGTCCTCTCGCTGGGAGGGATAAAGCCGTAGTTTGTCAGAATACTCTGCAAGCCCCTTGGGTTTGCTAGGCTCCCTCTTTCTTGCCGGGGACTCCAGAGCAGGGCAGCAGCACCCCCACAGGTGGCTCTTGGAGACAGGCCAGGGAAGAGGATTGAGGAACTGGACCACCTAGAGACCCCTGAACCTCACTAGATGGTAGCTGCTGCTGGCTAGGCAGCTTGGCAGATGGGAGGTTTGTCCCTCATTCTCTATCTTGTCTGGGTTGCCCAAGGGGAGCCAGGCCAGCTTCTTAGAAACCAGAGGCCCTGTTTGTTTCTGGGTCTTCTTGGCCTAGCATCACTGCAGGTCTTCTGAGGCACAGGTAGCTTCCAGGACAGCTGTTCTACACCTGATTATCAGGTGCCCCTCTGTGGAAGAGGCATGTGACGCTCAGACAGCCCCAGAGGGACCTGAGTTGATTTTACCTACATGACTCATTCTTGCATTTAATTTTTTTGTTGCTGTTTTAAATTTTGTTCAATTCTATGTATGACTCAGGCACTTGTCTGTGTGTGTGTGAAGTCTGAAGGTTGCTTTTTGAGTATCTTCCCTTACTACTCTCTACCTTAATTTTTGAGGTAGAGTTTCTCACTGAACTTAGAGCCATTGTTTTGTTGAGGGGTGTCTAGGCACTGAGCCCCAGGAATCTGCCCATCTTCCCCCAAACTCTGATACTGGGTTACAGGCCTGGGCCAGGGCGCCTTGCTTTTACATGCCAGTTAGGGTCTGAACTCAGGTCCTCACGATTGTGTGGCAAAGAGTCTGCCCGTTAAGCCATCTCTCCCGTCCCTCCTGACTCATTCTTTAGCAGCCAGTGCCTCTTTTCCGTTTCTTCTCTTTGGAAAGGTTATCTGAGATAGCCCCCTTCTCCCGATAGCACAACGGTCCTTGATGCTTCTTCTCTGTTGTGTGCCAGGCCATCTGTGCGCCCCAGAGCAACGACTCAGCCTGCAGTGCCGAACAGATCCTGCAAGACACCGAGCACCACATGTACCAGTTGGTTTATATAGCAAGCATGGTGTCTGTGCTGGCATTCGGCATCATCAAAGGCTTTACCTTCACCAACACTACACTGAGGGCATCCTCCTCGCTCCACAACAGGGTGTTCAACAAGGTAGGACCCCAGCAGGCTGCAGGTCCACCGGCTGCTCAGTGCACAGCCTTCAGCAGGCCCTGTGCCAGAACCTGGGCTCGACTCTGGGCACAGAACAGCTCTCCCGGAGCCTGCCGTCTAGTTTTCAGGAGCTCTGCCACTTGTTGAAGTACCCTATAGGAAGGCCAGTTTCAGAAAGCAATAGGGATACATCATGGGCCCTTAGGCGGGAAGGATGGTGGGGAAGATACATATCTTGCCTCTGAGAGCCCCAGCTAGCAACAGCCTGGAGAGGGGCCCTTGCTTTCCATCGCTGGAGCAGGCAGCAGCGGTTGGTTGCGAGGGCCCTCACCAGAACGCACAGTTATTCTCCACACTTTGTGGAGTAGACAGACAAATAGATTTGACATTTTATTTCCCTGGGGCCCAAAATCCCTTCCTCCTCTGAGAGGGCCAGGCTTCTCTGTCCCAGGAGGCCCCTGAGATTTGGAGAGGAAGCCCCATATGTTACCAGGATCTTTCCCACATCCACTCATGGTGGTGGTCTAAGAATGGGGAGCACCACCCTTGTTTCACGAGGAGCATCTGACCTGCTGGCTCGTACTTTGGAAATATGGGTCCAGCCCCCTGCTCTCACGTTCCTGCCCTTCAAGAAGTCCTCCGAACGCTCACTGACCCTGTTCACTCTGCTCCTACCCTCAGATCGTCAGGAGCCCAATGAGCTTCTTTGACACAACTCCCACAGGCCGTCTGATGAACCGTTTTTCTAAAGACATGGACGAGCTGGATGTGAGGCTGCCGTTCCACGCCGAGAACTTTCTGCAACAGTTTTTTATGGTGGTGTTTATTCTGGTGATTATGGCTGCAGTGTTTCCTGTGGTCCTTCTGGTTCTGTCCGGCCTGGCTGTAATCTTCTTCATTCTTTTACGGTAGGATCATACACAACTTAAAAGGGGGAGATTCCCAAACCTCACCCCCCCCACACACACACAGAGTGGGGGTGGGGAGAGAATGTGAATGAATACGTGTACCAGCTGGAAGGCAGGTGATGCTGAGCTCCTGTTTTCTTCTCTGATGGGAAAAATCCTAGATTTTTGGCACTTGTTACACACCAGGTGCTATGGTAAGAGCCTCATATACACCTGGCTTTTTGGTCCTAGAGCAATGCTGGGAGGCGGGTAAATTATTAGGCGGTTCAGGAAGCCCACAAGGGGGGAGGTTGCCATCTGTCTGCAGATTCATTCCTAACCAATGGGCTCTGAGAAGTCCCTTCTCCAGTTACTTTGATTTTGAGAAACAGTGTTTGCTGCAGCTGAAGACTGTTGTGTACAGAGAGGTGTGGAAGGGAATTGTACACACCCCTCATGAGGGACACCAGAAGCTGTAAGCTTCCATCTCCCCAGGGACAAGAGTAACCCTGCTTTGCCGTGGGGGTGAGGGCCAGCGGGATTTCTCATCAGGCACTGTGGGTAGTACTGAGAGGGAACAAAGAGCTGTAAGTTAGAAAGGTTTGGGCCAGAATTCCTGCTTTGCCGGGAAGCTAGTTTGGAGAATCTTGAAATGCTGCAAATCTGTTCCTTCTCCCCCAAAGATCTTAGTCACTAAAATGTATGCCTTGTCTGTGTCAGAGGAGTAGGTGAGGCGAGGCAATTAAGTCCTCGACAATGAAAGATAGAATTAAGCGGTAAGCAAACTTGATAGACTTAGAGTTTTGGTTAAGGGCTGATGAGGGACAGACATGAGTAGCCACACAGTGAGGGAGGGAAAGGGGTGGGCTGGGGGTTTTTACAAGGCAGTGTCATCAGGGTTTCACAAGGGGGAGACTTTTGGGTGTCAGGGAGATTGGTGCAACCAAGGGCAAGCTAAGATGGGGCACTGGTGGAGGAGGAGGGTGGCCTGAGGGAGGAGGCGTTGGAGCAGTCAAGGCTGCAGTTTCGGGTTCAGACTCAAACACGAAGTCTGAGGCAGTGACAATGGCAAAAGTATGAGGGGTGAACTGTGGCTGGAGACTGGCATGGGCGCCCGACAGGAGCCGGTGTGATCATGGGAATTGGAAGCAGGGTTCTGCAGAGCCAGCCTTTCACTGCACTACCCTTGGTACCACTGAGAAAAGCACACATTTCCGCCCTCAAGGGTTTATTGTGCTGAGGGGTCAGAAATGTTTTCTGAAAGTCCGTCACAAAGATGAGGCATGCCGTGGGTGTCAGAACTTGGAGTGGACCACTTTGCACTTCTATTCGTTTGTTACACCTTTGTTTGGCTGTCTGCTGCTGTCTGCTCTATTGCTATTGACTGACTTAGTAAAAGCTTAAAAGAAATCTGCCCGACATACCCAATCCTTTGCTATGAAGACGGGAGAGACCAAAGAGCAAATCTGACCTAATTATCTTGTACTTTTACAATGAATTTGCTGAGCCTTCCTCATTCTGTGGCTTAATTTTAGTTGAGAGTCAGGAGGCACGCTTGACTCCCTCGTGATAGCCAGCAATCTTGCATGCTCAAGGGCCTAGGTCTCCTATCATCAGGGTTCTCGGAGCCTCCTTGTAAGGTACAAGACAGTACTATGAGAGTACGTGTTTGAACTCAGTTCCCGAGGCTAGCTCTGTACAAAGTTACCTCTGAAGGACTGCATGCTGGCAACTAGATGAGGTCCCTCTCTCTCTGGTCATTGAGAGCTTGACTTGTGTTCAGAGGCTGCACTGTGTGAAATCTGGGTCTTCAGAGACTGGAACTGCAGCCTGTGCTGCGTGTGGTTCATGTCATTCTTCTACGGGAAGCACGCAGGTCTGAAGGCAAATGAAGTAGTAATCTGTGCTCAGACTTCTCAGCAGCCCATCCCCCACCCGGCCGACAGGACATCCCGGAGAGGAATGGCAGGCTCCTCTCTTCCAGTTTGAACGCTAACTTTGACTTAACTGCCACGGGGAATCCTGGGTTGGATTGCCTGTGCAGAGGGAGAGTTCTCTGAGACTAGACTTGTGACCGTCTTGGACCCTCTCGTTCTCCCCACAGCATTTTTCACCGAGGAGTCCAGGAGCTCAAGCAGGTGGAGAACATCAGCCGGTCCCCGTGGTTCTCTCACATCACCTCCTCCATGCAGGGTCTGGGTGTCATCCACGCCTACAACAAGAAGGATGATTGCATCAGCAAGTGAGTCGATGGGCCCCTACCACAGGGGCTCCCCACCTCGTGCCCCAGCCCAAATGGGCGGTCCCTGGGTCCTTTGGCACTGAGAGGGGAAATGCTGGAGACAGATAAAGGGCTGGCAGAACTGGGAGCTCATTTCCAGTGTTAGGGGAGAGGAGAGGAGGAAGCTGGAGGGGACAGAGACATGTATGTGTCATGCTGGGTTTGAGCGCAGGGCTTTGGGCCATGCTGGGCAAGCCCTTCACTATTGAGCTATACCTCCAGCTCTGTATGGCTTTGCATGTTTTATTTCTTGCTTACATGTACTCAACTTAGGAAAACAGCGAAAAGCACAAAGTACATCAAATCACTCCTGGGCCTCAAATCGCAGTCTTGCTTGTACTTCATGTATGCGCTCTATGTATAATCATAAACTGAAAAATCTAAAAACTGAGAAGCCCCACAAGCCCAAACCTTTTTAATACTGTTGCTGTACTTCAGACGGGAAAACCCCATGCTTGACCTGCTGTGAAGGACGGTAGCCAAGACACAGGCACAGTAAAAATACGCATGAAAATTATCTGCAGGCGCCTGTCCTGGTGGCACAAGTCTGTGGTCCCAGCCTCTAAGGAGGCTGAGGCAGGAGGATCCAACCTTGGCTACAGAGTTCAAAATCAGCCTGTACATTTTGGTGAGACCCTACTGAGACTTGGTGTCTCATGGAGTTAAGGAAAAGACCTAGGGGCGTAGCTCAGTGTGGCCCAGCCTGTGCAAGGCCCTGCTTTGAATCCCCAGTTCTGCAAGATAAAAGAAAGCAAGCAAATGAGTAACCTGCAGGCTGGCTGCCATTGAGTGAGGTATAGAAGAAGCATGAGGCAGTTCTGTGGGCAGAGTTGTTCTTCATTGCCAAGCTATCCCATTATGCATATACAAACATTTTAGAATTTTAAAAAATCCTATTGGAGCTGGAAAGAAGGCTCTAGAGCACTAGCTTCTCTTTTAAAAGGACACAGTTTTGATTCTGATTCTCAGCACAAGGTAACTCAACCATCAGCAACTGTGTTTTTAGAGGTCCCTTCTTCTGGCCTTCGCAGACCCACGGCATGCATGTGGTGCCAGACATAAAATAGGCAAAATGCCCATACATATAAAATAGCCAAGTTTAATTAATTAATTTAGATTAAAAATCACATTTAGAAACATTTCTGGTGTCCTAAGCATCGCAGACAGGATACTTCTATTTCCTCTTTTTTTTTTTAATTTTTCAAACCAAAAGATTTTCTTTTTAAAAGTTATTTTGAATATGAGTTTCATGGAATTGAATGTTCTTTTACAATAAACTCATTTTTATTAAAAATATTATTAATTCTTTGAGACTTTATACAGTGTATTTTTATCATATTCAATTCTTCATTTCCAACTCCTCCCATATCCATCTCCCCTTTCTACCATTCCAGGTTTGAGTTTCCTTCCCATTTTTTTTGTAAGCTCATGAAGGTCAGCTTAGGTTGTTTAGCTAGTCTGAGGAGTGGGGCCTGTCTCTGAGTGCAGTTGCCCTCCCAGAGGTCACCTCACTTAGAAAATCCAACTCTTTCTCTCCCAGCAGCTGTCAAATGCCAGCGGCTTCTCGGTTAGCGGTGAGAGTTCATGCCCACCTTCCCTCTGCCCCATGCTGGGATTTTGTTTGGCTTGAGCTTGTGCAGGCTGTGCGCAAGATGCCACAACCACTGTGAGGTCAGCCGCCCTGTGTGTCTGGAAGGCACGTTCTTTGATGCTATCCATCCCCCTTAGCTCTTAAAATCTGTCTACACTCCCTTCCACGAAGACCGCTGAGTCTTGTGTAGAGGGTGTGATAAACACACTCCATGTCAGGCTGAGCACCCCACAGTCCCGTATTCCCTGCCAGTTGAGGGTCTCTGCGCTAACTCCCATCCTCTGCAATGAGAAGCTTCCCTGATGAGAGCTGAGACACACCCTGACCTATGGCATAAGGAATTACTTCTATACACGTCTGACTGCTTGAGACTCAAGTCTAGATGTGCAGCCTTGGCCAGTCTGTGACCTGCAGTCACATGTCCCCCTCTCCAAGCTCATAAACACCTGAGTTTGTTTATTGGTTTTTGTGTGTGGACAGGCCAGTTTCCTTCTTATCAAAACTTGAAGACCAGATTAGTGGAGTCATGCAACTTCAGACCTCTAATATACCACAACAAATATGTAAGTCACAACTTTGGAGTGAGACAGTGGGCTAGAGGCTGCCCCTGCTATGGGACCCCATGGTAAGGAAGGGTCAGACCTAGAGCAAGGTTCTCTATTAACAACAGCAAAGAAAGAGAAGGACTCCAGAAATCCAGGAAGGTGGTGACAGGATGCCTGGAGAGTGTGAAAGAAAAAAAAAAAAAAAAAGGATGGGTGACTCACAAAATACAAGCCACTACTGCACAGCTCTCCCAGAGCTTCCTAGGGTGCAGGGGAAAAAGGCTCCCCTAACATTGTTACTGAGGCCCTAGCCCTCAAAAGTTGGCTATTGAATCAGGGGGATGGACACAGGGGAGGCCAATGAGGGACGAAAATGAATTATAACAATATGCATCATCTTCACAGATGACACGGTGAAATGTACTATGTTTTTGCTAACCTAAAAAATAAAAATAAAATCAGTTATTCCATATGAAGATCTGCAAATAAAATCAGAAGCAATGTCCAAACTAGTAGGTATGCAAATGTCACCATAGAAACAGAAGAAAAAAAAGGTAAAGGCTGGCACTGTGACGCCACAGGTTGGAATTCTTCCACTGATGACTTTGATGACAGAAAAATAGGTGAAAGGCCAGGGTGAAACTTTGAAAAGTTTCCTAGCAAAAATAATGAGCAAGCAGATAAAGATACTCTGGGACTTGGAGAGGACAGTTACAAGAGAAAAAGAGAAATTGCTTGAGAAAAATCAACAATATGGGTGAAAAGGTTACTAATATGGAAGGGAAATTCATCAAGAAAACAAAATTAGAAACCAAACAATCAGTGAACCAAATAAAAACACTGCAGAAAGGATTGCCAACAGACTTGATGAGGCAGGAAAAGGGCATGAGATGGAGGGTAAGGGTAAGGAAATCCTATACTTAAGATCAATAAGGAAAGAAACAGTGAATGAGCATGACCACAGCACCCAGGAACTCCAGGATGCTATTTAAAAAAAGATCAAACTCAAGAGGAAAGCACTGAGATAAAACTAAGGGAATGATACATTCAGCGAAATCATAGCAGAAAATCCACCCAACCCCAGATCTAGAAAGAAATAGACATCTGAACCCAAGATAAATTAAAGAGCCTTGAAAGATATGACCACAGAAAGACTTCTGTGTGACATTATAGGATGTCAAATATACAAAGCAAAGAAATAGCACTACAACTTGTAAGAGGAAAATGCCAACTTACCCACAAAGGCCTAAACATCAGAAAAAAGCTAGATCCTTTGTCAGCAACCCTAGCTGGGAAAGCATGGAATGATATATTTCAAGCCTCCAACTAACATCACTATGATCAAGAACGCTATCTTTCAAAACTAATGTGTCAGGACCAACACAAGCCAAGGTAGTTCATGACAGACAAGCCAACACTACAGAAGACGCTTAAAAGAATACTATATGCAAAGGAAGAGGAAAGCTAGTCTTAGCCATAACAGCACAAGAAAAAAAATTCAGCCAGGCACTGGTGGCTCAGACCTTTAATCCCAGCACTTGAGAGGCAGAGGCACAGTGATCTCTGAGTTTGAGGCCAGCATGGTCTACAGAGCAAGTTTCAGGTCAGCCAGGGCCATACAGAGAAACCCTTTCTCACCCCATCCCTCTACACACACACACTCACACACACACACACACTCACAAATCTTGAGAGCATGGATGAATTAATCCCAATACTAGTTAGTAGAAACAATCCGAATATCTAGAAAACAGCTCCCCCCATTATAGAAACTGGTAAACATTTCTTAATAATATAATCCTCAATATAAACAGCCTCAACTCATCAATTAAAATATTCAGACTGTTGGACTGGACTTTAAAAACTTAGATCCAATTGGGCACAGTGGCACAGGCTGTTATCCTGTATTTGGAAGGTAGAAAGAGGATCAGAAGTTCAAGGTCACCCTTAGTTAGCCTTTGCTGCTTGAGACCCCATCTTACAACAAGAAACAAAATCACACCCCACCCCCAAGAAAATTGGATTCAGCTCTCTGTTGTCACCTCACTGTTACAGAGGCTGAAGGTCAAGGGTGGAAACCAATCTATTCAGTGAACGGAAGCAGAAACAAAGCTGGCATCATTATCTCATATCTGATGAAGAAGGCTTCAAGTGAAAATTAGTCACAAAAGATGAAGCCGGGGCCACATACGAACAAAATGAGTTGTCTGTCAAAAGGACATGGCAATTATAAGAGACAGGTTTGCAGTTGGGAAGCACTCTTTTTTCTTTTAAGCACCTGCTTCTTTTCTGAAGCTCCCACAGCTAGGGAAAGCACCAGAAACAAACATCCCCAGAAGACGGCCCACACCAGCCACTCTCTCCTTCCTGCTGCTCCTTCCTGCTGACTCAGCTCCTTTCGCAGATGCAGGATGAAGGTCCCAACACAGCCCAGTGCCATGAAGCTCTGCCTGACAGTGCTGATTGCAGTGTACCTGGGGAGCACTCTCGTGTATTCCTTGGCCACGGTGGCCTCTTTGCCTCCCGCCCCACAGGCAGCTGGAGTGTCACTTTCGCTCTGTACCTTCAGCTCTAAACAGCAGGGACCCTAAACAGAATGCACGCTGCTTATGTCTGGGCACGAGTGGGAATGGGTGCCTACGGCTGGCTCTTGTCTTAGATCCCCTGGCTATGCCACCTTTCTGTCATTCTGCCCCGTGCAATGCCCTGGGACCCAGGGGACATGCAACTGGGGCACAACCTGAAGAGATCTCCCCACTCCACCCCCAGCTTTTTAAGCAGTGATTTGGTTGGTTGGTTGGTTGGTTGATTTTGAGATGGGAATCTTGCCATGTAGCCCAGGCTAGCCTTGAACTTGTGATCCTTCTACCTTATCCTCCCAAGCACTGGGATCACAAGTGTGTGCCACTGTGCCAGGCTCAAACAATGATCTTGATCTTGGTGAGGGTAGGCAGGGGAGGGAGGACAGCAGGGGAACACCCTCCCTTCCTACTCTACCATCACCACCATTGGCTACCCCTGTCATTAATATCAAAGGAGCCACTTATAGATTCCTCAAGGCTGGTAAATCCTGTGAAGCTGGAGCGTGAGGGTTTCAGCAGTTTGACTCTTAGCTATGGACTCTGAGAGAGACAGAAAGCCCATGTAACGCCCTTGTCGCCTGCCACACAACTGCCACATGAAATGTCTTAGAATGTGTGCAAATCAAAGACGCCTCTGGTGGCAGCTAGAGCATGGATATACATGCTCATTTTTCTAACAGCCACCTTGTAAGAAGGCGTGGCCTTGGTTCTGTTAGGAGCCCAGTGTCCCGTCAATGAAAGCAGACTCTGAGCTCTTCCTTCTATTTTCCAACTTCAGGTTTAAGATACTAAACGATGAAAACTCCAGCCACCTCCTGTACTTCAACTGCGCCCTTAGGTGGTTTGCTCTCAGAATGGACGTCCTCATGAACATTGTCACCTTTGTTGTGGCCTTGTTGGTGACCCTGAGTTTTTCTTCAATCAGTGCTTCATCCAAAGGCCTGTCATTGTCTTACATCATCCAGGTAACCGCTGGTGCATGGGGGGTGAGCTTGGCCTATGGTATATCAGAAGGAATACTTTCTGAGTGATGCAACAGGAAACTAAAAAAAAAAAAAAAAGTAGAGCTTAACCATATACATCGTTGACATTTGGAGGAGTTGTGTGGGCCTCAGGCGCAGGTGGATCTTGGCTCCTGGTTTTGTCTCTTTCTGTGATGCCTCCCTCATAGTTGTGCAGTGGGTCACAAATGATCTCTGAGATCTATAGCAAGAGGAAAGTGAGGAACATTTCTTCCCTTTACTACCCAACAATAGCCCAAGCTCTATTCTTACTGGATTGATTAGGCATCCAAGAGTGAGTTTGTGGTTTGATAGGAACGGAATGATTGATTTGGGCCAAGGTGTGGGGTCTATCTGTCTCACCCCTGAATCATACAGCTCCTTCACAGTGAGACTAGGAGAGGCAAGTTCAGCTTCTGGCAGTGATCAGAAATGGCCTCTTGGCTGCTTGGGTGCTTTTCTCTTTTAATACTAATACAAGAGAGGTAAGCACACAGCATTCCCCATCCTTCAAGCACTATGATGATTCCCTCCAAGGCTCTCAACAACACTGTGATGTTTTTGTAAGTATCACTTTGAAGATGAGAAACAAACAAACAAACAAACCAACAAACAAACTGAGGTCCAGAAAGACTCACACCTGCCCTGCGTGGGCCATGGTTTAAGCTGAGGTTGGTCCCTGAATCTTGTCCCTGGGATGTACTTCCCAGTGTCCTGTCTGGAACCTTCCTCCATTGAGCCACTGCTCTCTGTGCTCTGGAATTTCAGGATGGATTTTTGAATGTGGATCTTTTAAATACTCTGTTCAATATGGTAGGCTTGTGGACTTACTTACTTTAAGCGTGAGAGCTTCCTGCCTCAGGCTCCCAGTGCTGGGATCCCAGGCCTGCTGCACCATGCTCCTCCGTGTCCCACAACGCCAGACTCTGCGTCCTTTTAGATGAAAGTTAAATCTCTTCCCAATGCATAAAACGTTCACCCTCCCTTGTTTTAGATTTATTTATTGTTATGTCTCATGTATGGCTGTTTTGCCTGCATGCATGTTTGCGATCCCCGTGCATTCGAGTACCTGCAAAGGCCAGTAGAGGGCACTGGATCTCCGGATAACAGATGGTTGTGAGGCAGGATGCGGGTGCTGGGAATCAAACCCCGGTCCTTTGGAAGAGCAGTCAGGGCTCTTAACTACTGACCCATCTCTTTAGCCCTAGTGTTCTCCTGTTGTTTCCTCATTTGTTTCCTTCTGCTTTGTTTTATGGGAATTTCCCTCAGCTTTGTGATCTAGCCATTCTTTTGAATTTAGAGCATGGCAACCGTGTATTCATGTTTCAAGTTTCCGCATGCTCTCATTCCTTCGGTCTTTAAAAAACTCATTTTTTAAGTGGCAGAAATGCATTCTCACTTTTCCTAAGGATATTCACACTAATTACCCCTCCTCCCCCATCAACTTTTCTTGTTTATCTCTCTCTCTCCTGTTTTTGGTTTGTTTATCTATCTCTCACTCATTTGTATTTAAGGACCTGGAGAATGGTTTGGCTTTTCAAGGTGTGGCTTCATGCCTCCCCTCCTGGGATATTTTCTGCAGGTGCTGGGGGGTGGGTTTTTTGTTTGTTTGGTTGTTTGGTTGGTTTTTTTTAATATACTTGCTTCCCTTTCCCAAAGCAGCTAAGGAGTGGGGCCGTAAGTACTGACCACCAGAACCTAAGGTGTTTGGTTTGGTTTTCCCCTAGAGTGATATTCTTAGAGCCTCATGTGTGAATCCTCGGGTTGTTGACTCACTTTACGGAAGGAGGTGGTGTAATACACACATGCTCTTGTGTGTGCACTTAGCGGAGAAGCGTACACTGCTGTCTACTTGGGAGGAAGATGCGGCAAGGCATAGATGGGTCCATAAGAGCAGTTGTTCCTAGACAAGCCACAACCAGCCTGCCTCTCACAGTGAAGAGTAGCTCTCTTCTCACACTGGGAGGCGTTGGCTTCCGTCTCAGTGGAGGCTCTCATCTGATGCTCCCTGGCAGATATGTGTGGTTTTCATGCCTTGGGATCTCTCCCACCTCCTGGATGTTGAAGGTCTTCTTTCTGAAAACACCTCTGGTATCATTCTAATAGTATGTTTGGATGGAGGCTGTAGAGTATATAAACTGAGGACATGACTGTTCTATGGCATAGTTAGGGGGAAGGTTTTTATTGCAGATATGAGAGACACGAGCTGGGGGAAGTTTAGGGGAGGTTTAGGAGTGGGGGGGGGGCTAGAACGCTAGGATGGACTTTGAAATGTGCAGCCAGGTGCCTGGGATCCTAAGGGAGCTTAGAGGCCCACCTAGGCTGTGGTATGTGAATAAGCACCACAGAGAGCCAAGGGTCCCTGCTGCTAGAGGTAGATGTGGAATCAGCTCTGCAAGTTCCCGAGGAATGCTGGCTTTTATCTAGCCACCAGAAAGCCTCCAACAGTCCAGGCTGAGCTCATTTCTGCATGTTTAGACTGCCCTTTGGAGTCTGGGGAGTGGGAGTTTCCTTTGGACCTAATGGAGACATCCTCGGTGCTCTGGGGTGGGAAAATGCACCTTCCATGGGTACCCAGCTTTCCCCACTGGTAGTGGATGTCTTCACTGTTGCCTCTTACATATCAAGCAGATGAAACTGGTCTAAGTAAAACAGCTTGCCCTAACTAAGGACATGCTTTTGGGCAATATTATCAGCCTTCCAGGAGACAGTTGCCAAACACCCCTGAGGGCCAGCAAAGACTTTTCATGTACTGAGGTGTAAGAGCCCCCTGCCCCAATCCACACACACCGGAGGGAAGCAACACCACGGGGCAGAAGTTGAGTGCTAAGTGACATCACACGGTGCAGTGTATAAGCTGTGCTTACCTGGTCTGCACTGTGCCCGTGTGCAAATTCTAGACCTGTGTGAAGCTGCTAGGCATTCGGGAGCCGATGCTTTTTGTATTTGGCAGAATGTATCTGTGCCCTTCTAGGGATCAGTGCGCATTCTCATTCTGAGCAGCTGGCACAAGGCGGGGGATCTGCTGGTTGCTGTAGTTTTGCAGCCAGCCAACTGGGTGTATTCTATCCACCGGGCCTTAGGTTCTAGCACACAGCTCAAATGAGATTTTGCTCTTGAGGGAGGTGATGTGAGCAAAAATCACCCAGGTGGAGGCCCTTTGCTTCAAAAGAAATGGGAGGCCCTGGGCCTGTGTTAAGCAGGGAAGGTGGCGAGGGCCTACTGAGAAGAGCTCTCTAAGGTCCTGGATGGCCTCCTCACCCATTTTATCCCCCCCAACTTCCTGCCCCACTTCTGTGAAAGCCTGGTCGCTTACCGGAACTCTCTTAGGTTCTGTGCAAGTACAATGCAACTGTAGACTTGGGTACCAGCAGGGGTGGTGCCGAGTATTATGGATTCCATTTTCTGAGCCACCAGGGGACGACTGTGACGATCCCAGGCTCCCTGTCCTGGCTTGGCACACCCGTATCATCTCTCAGAAGTCCCCATCTAGACTGGTCTCAGTGGCTTACAGTGCTACACTCTCAGGAGCCACCTCAGCAGCCTTCTTTCCCCTTATTTCTTCTACCTGCTCTCTCACTTCTTTGGCTAACAGTCTGCAGTCATTTGCTCAGCCACTGCAACAAATCACATGTGCCTGGTGCTTAAGACAAGATGAATTATCCCCCTCACAATGTCGGAGGCCCAGAGCCTATACAGTGCTTATTCTCAAGGCCTCTTCTCTCCTTAGGCTCCAGGGAATTTTGTTCAGTCTTCAGACGTTGCTGGCATTTCCTGGCTTGGGACAGCGCTCCTCTAACTCCTGCTTCTGTCTTCCTTTCCCCATCTCTTCTGGATCTTTCCCTTGTGTTTTGTCAGGGCACTTGTTACTGGTCTTAGGACCAGGTAGGAAAGGGTGTTTAATCCCAGCTGCAAAAGTCCCTTCCCAAATGGGCCAACATTCTTGGGTTCAAGAGATTTTGGATGCAGACATATGATTTGCAGTCAGGGAGAAGGCATTCTGCAACCTGCCCTGGATACGATTTCCCCTCAGATTTTGGAGTTAGATTCTTGGGGGATCCTGGCCTGAGGCGGGTTCCCTTGGCAAACCATCTCCGTCAGTCTGGATCCATTTCCTACATCTGGTTGGTAATGGTGTTGGTAATGGTCCTCTAGTTTCTGCTGGAGGCTTTTGGTTGCTTTGCCGTCCCTGATGTGGTTGAGTTAAGAAGTGGGAGTGGGGTGCAGGACCCCACCAGGTGGCAGCCAGGAGCCAACCCCTCCAGCAGTTTGGCTCTCTGATGAATCTCCTCTCTACGGCAGTTGGGACTGGTTCACAGGAGTGATCAAGGTGGTGGGATGATTCTCACCATCTGGAGTGAGAGGGAAAGTGTAAATACCATTTGTTTCTGAATACAAAGGAAGTGTTTAAATGCAAAACATCCCAACAGGAAATGTGGCCTTCTGTGTGCCTGGCTGGGACTGCAAGCCGCTTTTGCGGTTGTCTGAGCCTAGTAGTAATTTGAAGTGGCAGATGCCCAAAAGGGGAAACAGCAGGGGCCAAGGGAGGAAAGGAGACCCTCAGCAGCTACCTGTTTCTTCCCAACAGCTCAGTGGACTGCTTCAAGTGTGTGTGCGAACGGGGACAGAGACCCAAGCCAAGTTCACCTCTGCAGAGCTGCTGAAGGAGTACATTTCGGTAAGGAAGGAGTAAACGGGGCAGGGGGCAACAGATTTTCATTTTTTTCTTTAAGGATTTATCCAGATTTTAAGTGTGTGTGTCTGTGTGCCTGTATGTGCCTATGGAGGCCAGATGTGTTGGGAGCTGGATTTATGGGTATGAGTCACCCAGTGTAGGTGCTGGGAATCAAACACTGGTCCTCTGGAAGAGCAAGAAGGAGGACTCTGGGCAAGATGCTCAATCCTCATTCAGAAAAGCAAAGAGGATGGATAACGGAAGAGGGAGAAAACAGGGAACAGGACAGGAGCCTATCACAGAGGGCCTCTGAAAGACTCTTCCCTGCAGGGTATCAAAGCAGATGCTGAGACTCATAGCCAAACTTTGGGCAGAGTTCAGGGAATCTTATGAAAGAAGGGGGAGATATAAAGACCTGGAGGGGACAAAATCTGGGCCCAGGGGTCTTTTCTGAGACTGATACTCTAACCAAGGATTGTGCATAGAGATAACCTAGAACCCCTGCACAGATGTAGCCCGAGGTAGCTCAGTGTCCAAATGGGTTCCCTAGTAACGGGAACAGGCACTGTCTCTGACATGAAATCAGTGGCTGGCTCTTTGATCACCTCCCCTTGGGTGGGGGAGTGCAGCCTTACCAGGCAACAGAGGAAGACAGTGCAGCCAGTCCTGATGAGACCTGCTAGACTAGGATCGGTTGGAAGGGGAAGAGGACCTCCCTATCAATGGACTGGGGGAGGGACATGGGTGGAGAGGAGGGAGGGAGGGTAGGATTGGGAGGGGAAAAGGGAGGGAGCTGCAGGTGGGATGCAAGGTGAATAAAGTAATTAATAAAAATAAAATTGAAAAAATAAAAAAGGTCAAAAACCAAAACAAAACACTGAGCTATCTCTCCTATTTTGCTCCTTTCTGCCTCTTTCAATATGTGAACGGGATCCTTTTAATAACTGCAACCTGATCTGTCCCCTATCCTGTTAAAAACCTGTGTTAACAATCCAATCCAAAATTCAGTGGCTTGCTTCAGTTTCTGAAAATTAATATTTGATTAAAGTTATAAATAGCGAAAGAAGATCGGTTTACCTCTTCTTTGAGAGCTTTTTGGTGCAATGTAGAAATGCAACTGTTTTGAAAATAGAAGTCTCCCTAAATGCACTGGTCACTTTTGTGGGCCTTTTGGGTAGTGTTTGGTCCCACTCACAAGCTTAATTCAACACTCTAAAACATTTCAGAATTTGGCATTTTTAGTTTCCCTTTTAAAATGACCCCATGATCAGCTTTAACACACAGATCTTTCGGGTGTGTTTAAGTCCAGTTGAGCCTGTGAATCCCCATGAGCGCTTGAAATCCCTATAACAGATCCATATATAAGCAGAAAAAATTTTGACTTAAAAAATCACATTTAAACTAATTATTCAAGTGTACAATTCAAATTAGAATCTCAAGCCCAAATTTGTAAATACTAAAAATATTTGGAGCATAAAATAAGCAGATTCCTTAACCTAAAAACATTGCTAGTGCAATACTTTCTCTTTTTAAATATCTTTATTTTTAATTCCAAATCTTCTAGGGGTTTAAAATAGGCTCTAAGAAGGCAAATGCTCTCTTAGCTAATTGAGGTCACTTATGGACTGGAGACTTGGGCAGGCTGGTCACCCTGACGGAGCACTGGGGACTCCTCATTGCTGCGAGAGCCATCATAACCCAAAATGAAGGGCTGGTCTCCGAATGGAGCTGGCTTTGTATGCATTAGATTGTGAGGTGTTAGGGATGCTTATGAAGAAAACTTCAAATTTTATTTATTTATTCATTTGTGCTGAGGTCTAAAGACCGTTGAACTTGGCATTCTGCATTCTGTGTCATCTTCCTGTTCCTAGCACCAGGATGACTTCTGTAGACACTGAAATTAGATTGAGTTCTGCTCACCTCAAGGTTCACCGTGGGCTTGTCCCACAGCTTCAAGGTCATTGTCCCGATCCTAGCCCAGGCCCACAAGGCCAGTGTGAGCTGTCTCTTGCTCATGCCCTGAAGTCACCCGTCCTTCCCTCATTAAGCTCCGGTCCTATATGACTTTTCTTTTTCTTCCTGGAGTCATTCAAGCTTGTTCTGGCCACCAGGCCTTTGCAGTATCTGTCTCCCCTGTCAGGTTCTAGAAAAAAAAATCCTTGTAGCTGTCATCCTTTTGGATGTCCAGGCCTTGGTTCTAGTGTCACATCCTCAGAGATGCTTCTTCAACCCTCAGATAGTTTAATTCTGCTTGCTGACACAGGCCATATAAGTCACTTTGTGTTTTATTACAATACCTTTGTTTGTTTGTTTGCTTTTTGAGACAGGGCTTCTCTGTATAGCCCTAGCTGTCCTGAGACTCACTCTGCAGATCAGGCTGGCCTCAAATTCGGAGATCCGCCTGCCTCTGCCTCCTAAGTGCTGGGATGAAAGGTGTGCGCCACCACACCCAGCCTACAATACTCTTCTTTTTACCTAATGTACCCCCATTGGAACATGACATGCTGTTTTTGCAAGGAGTATCTCATGTAGCCCATTCTGTCCTGGAACTCTCCATCCTCCTGTATCAGCTTCCTGAATGTTATAATTACAGGTTCATAGCACCACACTGGGCAGAACGTGAATTCCTTGGGTTCAGGATTATGGCGCCCCTTCACCACCACAGGTGTCAGTATTGAATAACAGCTGTGGAACGAGTGAAGTTAAAAGTCAGTGGAAACCAGTGTCTATTGGGTTGGTCAGTAGCTATTCTGCTTTTCAGAGCTGTGTTCCTGAACACACACACCCCTTCAAAGTGGGGACCTGTCCCAAAGACTGGCCGAGCCGTGGGGAGATAACTTTCAAGGACTATCAGATGAGATACAGAGACAACACCCCTCTTGTTCTTGATGGGCTGAACTTGAACATCCAGAGCGGGCAGACCGTTGGGATTGTGGGAAGAACAGGTTCTGGTGAGCACAAACTCTGGGTCTGTTTCTTTGGGGTGGTTTGAATTGGCGCTCCATGTGCTAGCTAAGCCCTATGGAGAAATGTACATGAGGGCTGGCTTGTTGTTTTCCCTCAGATCTCTTTACTGTAAATGAGGGTTTTGGGTTGAACGGGTGCGGGGAGTTGGAAGCAAACATACAGTAGTTCTTTGAATTAATTAGATGAGAATAATTCTGGAGAAACGAGGCCCAGAAGATGACTTATGTGCTAAAAGCCTCTGCAGGGGGCCGCAGGTTAATGGTATCAGGGTAGCCTGGTCCCCCAGAGTGAGGGATGTCTGCCTTGCAAAGCCATCCACATGGAGCCAATTTCATTGCATTAAAAATTCCCTTAATTAAGTGCTTAGACATGATGGAAGTCAAATTCATTGTCCTGTTCTTATTGTCCCCAGGAAAATCATCACTGGGCATGGCCCTGTTCCGTCTGGTGGAACCTGCCTCTGGTACCATCTTCATTGACGAGGTGGATATTTGCACTGTGGGTCTGGAAGACCTCCGCACCAAGCTCACCATGATCCCCCAGGATCCTGTCCTGTTTGTAGGTACAGTAAGGTAGCTGTTTTCAATCATCCTGCATACCTGTTTGGAGATGGTGAAATTGGGCCAACCAGCGGCTGAGAAATGGCTGGGCTTGGCTGTTCTTGGCAGCCTGAGCTCAGGGAACTGGCCTGCAGAGGCACTTAGCAGTCCTGCTGGTGTGTGGTTTTCAGTCAAGGCTTTGGAAGGAATTGGGGAATAGTGTCTTGAGTCCTGTTGGCATTTCAGAAACAATATTATTAAAATATTATATCATTATCAATATTATATCATCATTAATATCATTACATTGTTAACATCAACATCTAATTAGTAGTGATATTAATAGTTTTAATAACGTTAGCAGTACTATTATTAGTGGTTTTATCATGCACAGAGTAAGCAGATACCACAGTAGTCCCAGACAGCCCTGTTTTCTGCTTGTGTTTGGTGTTACATCAGGCTTAGCAATGGCTACTCTAGAAAGTGCCCCAGAGTGCACAGCGGACTGACTGGTTCCCTGGCCTGAGCGTGCAGCAGGCTTTTGGCAACTGCGTCACTGCATTTCCGCTACAGGGTAGAAGCTGCTCGTGTATGGGAAGACCAAGGCTGTGGCTTACACAGGTTCTTGCTCTGATGTATAAGCACAGGGGCATCCGAGTGTCTCAGCTGGTCCAGGGAAAGGGGACTGGATGAAGTAGGGAGACTGTGTCCACTCAGAGCTGATCATATGAGTGATGCAATGTGTACCCCCAAACACCAGATTCCCATTCCTCTGAGGCAGAAAGGGATGCTGGGCCAAGTTTCTTTCCTTTGTCCTTTGTCCTTTGTCCTTTGCCAAGGACTTGTAGAGGGTCCCATGTGATTGATGCAACGCAGTCTGGTGTTCTTGTGTTTGTCTCCTGGTGGGGTTTCTCACTCCTGCCTGTCTCCAAGGTCTCTGCTCTACCACAGTGTTGTGTGTGGGTCCTTGGTCTTGGGACCTGAACAGGCTCCTCCCATCCCACCTCTTCTTGTCCCCCAACATGCTATGGGGGAGAGACTGTGTCCCTCCCTTTTACAGCTTCTAGGGGCCACTGTGGGCCTTCCTGACATCACATCTCTTCGCTGGCCTTCTCATTTTCTTTGAGCTCTCCATTGTATCCTCCTTGAGAATCCAGCTTGCTTTCCTCTGGTTCATTGCAGGTTCAACTTGGATCCCTTGGGGAGTCACACCGATGAGATGCTCTGGCATGTTTTGGAGAGAACATTCATGAGAGACACAGTAGGTCTCTGGGGCTGCCTGGCATGAGTCCATTCCAACACTACTGCCCCGGATACCTGTCCCTGGGGCCAGTACATGGCCATGTTTATTTGCAGAATCGACATACATCAATGAAGTTCAATCCTTCCTTGCTCCTGGTCATCAAAAAACAGCCACAGTATTATTTGTTAGGACTCCAGCTGGTCCAGTCAACAGACCTGCAAGCATCATGTCTCTTGGTCCTCTGTACGGCCCTTGAAGGCTGGTGCTCTTATCCTTCACATTTTTGAGGTGACAAAATAGCTCAGAGAAGTAACATGTCCATCCCAGTGAGCAGCAGGATGGAGACTTGAAACCAGGCCCATCTGGGTCCAGAGTGAGGGAGGCCTGGTCGCTGGGCCTGTGGCCTGACTGGCTTTATCAGAAAGAGTGAGCTGCAGCATGACGAATGGGTGCAGCTTGTTCTGGGGTTGCAAGGGTGGCTGCTTTGAGTTGTCCAGGACATGGTTGCAGTCCCCTGTTGAGGTCAGTCGCCCCAGGGTGCCAAGGCACACATCTCCCAGAGCCACTTTGGTTTGTTGTTATGGTCTCAGCCCTCTGGAAAGCTCTCCCATCCCATCTCTGCTTTATCCATGACAGTTGCAACCCCGAAGGCCATTTCCATTTGCTTAAGTGTTCTCTAGAAGTACATGCATGATTTGTCCTTTATGGTGACTCACGCTGGCTTTACGTTATTAACATCTCCCTCGCCCTGGCCCTCCCCGCTGCCTATTTGCAGTATTGAAATGATTGCTGCTTTTTTTTTTTAAACTTTCTTAACCATTGTAAAATAAAGCAAGCTGATGAATGCAAGAGGAGGGGGCAATCAATAAGACGATACAGCACAATTTTATAGATCATCAGCATAAATGTGTCATTTTCTGTGTTTTATAGATAATGAAACTCCCAGAGAAATTACAGGCAGAAGTCACAGAAAATGGGGAAAACTTCTCAGTAGGGGAACGCCAGCTGCTTTGTATGGCCCGAGCACTTCTCCGTAATTCAAAAGTAAGGAAACAGCATGGAAAATGGATTGGTCAAATTTTGGATATTCCCTGTGGCGCCACTCAATCCAGGAGGCAGAGACACAAGTTTGTCTTTCAGCAAAGACAGAGCAATGCAGTAATTTAAAAACCGATCACTTTCTCTTAAAACAAAGTTGTGAGGGGTAAAAATTGAAAAATAATAGCCATTTTCAGGAGCAGCGCCTTCCTTATCTGGTCTTCTCCTTGGGAGGCCTTTCTTATGTATTCTCTCCACTCCTAGGAGGCTTGAGTTTGGAAAATATGCTTTCAACGTTTTCCCTTTGTCCCTGAATAATTCTGGGTCCTCAGGCATAGAACCTAGGACACCCAAGAAAGCCATCAGAATGCTAGTTTATATGATTTGGAAGTTTTATATATACTTTCCCAAGTGACTTAACAAGCATTACTAACTGATTCTGAGGGAGAAAATGCTCAATTCCAAAATGGTATCCTTTTTTTTTTTGGCACCTTTTCAAGATTGGTGTTTATTTTATTGTGTTTCCATTCTCCTCACCTGTTAGGCTATTTATTTCCCTCTTTGCACAGCTTTGGCTTTTACAGCACTTCTTCCTTAACAGATCATTCTCCTTGATGAAGCTACTGCCTCCATGGACTCCAAGACGGACACCCTTGTTCAGAGCACCATAAAAGATGCCTTCAAAAGCTGCACAGTGTTGACCATCGCCCATCGCCTAAACACGGTTCTCAACTGTGACCTTGTCCTGGTCATGGAAAATGGGAAGGTGCAGGAAGTTCTGGTTGGCGTAACCTCTTCAAAGGCTTCCCCCGTTAGGGCCATGTGGTGTGTACATTATTTATTTTTTTTTTTCTGAAAATTTCAGTTCTTCTCTGATTTTCAGGTGATTGAGTTTGACAAGCCTGAAGTCCTTGCCGAGAAGCCTGACTCTGCATTTGCGATGTTACTAGCTGCAGAAGTTGGACTGTAACGTCCCGTGGTTGATTGGAGAGGAGGCCATGGATGAGTGACAGTAGAAGCCTGAAGGCAGTGTCCTGCGGCCCTGGCCACAGCCCCTCCCACCCACTGAGCTGGGTGAGCTGGGGCTGAAATGTGTTCCTTGCTCTTCTGGGTACCTCGGCCACCTCCCTTGGCAGACTCAGGGCTAGTTCTGGATGGTGAAGAGTGTAGACAAAGCCTGGTGGGTTGAGAGCTGCCTTTCACCTCTGAAAACCCCAAGGATCCCTCATGTGTCCCCACCAATACTACATAATGCCTGAGAATGGGAACATTCTAACTTTCAGTCAAAAACCAGTCAAAGCAAACAAGATGGAGAAATGTTCAAGGCTGGAAGTGACAGGATTCCTCACTTTTGTTACCAGACAAGGAGAGAGAAGGGTTTTCTTTCTGCTTAGCTTCATTTCAATTTTAGCTGACGATATGATAAGCAGTAACCTCACAGATCTACAGCATGGAAGACTGATGATAGTGTTTGGCATGAGATTTTATTTTCAAAGAAATCATATTGTATGTTACAGTTGATCTATTAAAAGACCCAGAAAGCAAAACACTGGGGTTTCTGAATAAATGACATTTTTATATCTTCTTTATCAGTCATTAAAATGCGATAAGAAACTAAATGACCCTGAAATGTTGTCTTGCAATTATTTTACTGACAATGTCTCTCTCTGAACTATTCCTTCTCATGGACCCCCACTGCCCTCTCCTTTGGCTTAGTAATGAATCTATACAGCTGTTCACCATCCTCAAGGTTTTCTATGAGGATCATAGGAAAGACCTACTCAGTAGTCCCAGCATGAGTGCTGCTAGTTTCAGAGTGGCACTTGCCACTCCTTGGGATTGAAGGCCTCTTTTTATTTCTGGTGAGGATGACAGCTTCTTCTGATGTTTGCATGAGGTCCCCTGCACCTTCTCTCTAGCCCCAGGCCACATCTTACATAATAGCAGGTATCGCTGTAGTGACTAAAGCTCCTTTGGTGTGTTGGCTCACACACTACCCTGTTTCTTGCAAACATGGAGAAAGGTGGTACCTGACACTTGGGAACACTGAGGACACACTTATGGTAGGCCGGCTTTATCTGCCTTCCAAATTCATTCCCAGATTAATCTGGGAATCTTCATTAGACAAACTGATGGTTCTTACTGGTTGTCAATTTGACAGGACAGGACCTAGGCCATCTATGGGCTAAAACTTGGAGGATGTCTGTGAGGGGGTTTCTCTGTTAGGTTAACTGAGGTGGGAAGACTCTAGATGTGGATGGCAACATTTCATGGGCCGGGGGCTGGGCTGAATAAGAAGGGGAGAGGTAGCCGCCACCAGCGTTCATCTCTCTACTTCCTGACTGCGGACATACCATGACCAGCTGCCTCCCATTCCTGCTGCCCTACCTTCCTACCATGATGAACTGCACCCTTAAACTATAGGTCAAAAGTAAATCCTTGATTCTTTGAGTTGTTGGACAAGCATTTTGTTCACAACGAGAAAAGCAACTAAGAATTAGAAGCAAGAAGTGTGACCGTTGCTACGATAGGCCTGACCATGTCACTTATAGGTCTTTGGGCCTGGTTTATGGGGGAATGTGGAAGAGTTGGGATCTGAGGTGAGGGAAACCCTAGAATGCTGTAAGCAGAGTTTAATGGGAGTTTGGAAGACCAGAATGCCAACAGAAATGAGGACAGCAGAGGCCCAGCTTATGAAAGTTCAGAGGAGAACTGGGCTAGAGGTCATTCATGTGTTTTTGGCAAATCATGTAGCTGCATTCTGCCTGTGCCTTGAGAACTCAAGTGAGGCTGAGCTAATTTGTTTAGTGGAAGGAAGTTTAAGAAAGTATAGCATTCAGGCTGGCATGGTTGCTACTTATTGCTCTGATCCATGTCTACAGTAAGAAAGAGCAACAAAAAATGGAGCAGAAAGATATGAAAAATATGCAGGTTGGCAGGGAAAGGAGTGAGTTCAAAGTTAGAGACAGGGCAGCTGAGAAAGCAGCTGCAACTATTAAAGAAATGGCACTAGTAAAGAGAAATCTATGCTCTGCATAGAGACACTAAAGAAGAAAAGAAAATATGCCCGAGGACAAGGTCCAGCCATCAAAAGTTCTACCTTGTAAAAACAAAATTCATTTGAAAGGAGAGACAATGAATTGAAAATGATGTTGAAGGGGCTCCCTGCTTAAAAAAAAAAAAAGAAAAGATAAAAGAAAAAAAAAACTCCCTAGGGAAATGTTTCTCTCGGATCAACACCCAGAGGCCACTGAAGCTGAGGCTCAAAGGAGCCAGGCTGTATCGGGAGCTGGCAGTGGAAGCTGGCAATGCTGTTCACCTGGTACGGTTTTTCATCATTGATGGACGTCAGGGAAGAAATGCAAGGGAGAACATGGCTTATTGACTTGTCCTCTGTCTCACTTTCCGTAGCTTTCTTATATAGCCCAGGCCATCTGCTTAGGGAAGGTGCTGCACACAGAGGGTTGGGCCCTTCCATATCAATCATCAATCAAGATAATTCCTCACAGACACAGCCTCTAGCCAGTATGACCAAGGCAGTTCCATAACCAAGGCATTCCATCCAGCTCTGAGTTGTATCAAGTTGACGATAAAAATGAACCAGGACAACCACTGTGTATTTATTGAAGCTATGTAACAAGGGTTTTTTGTTGTTGTTTGTTTTAATGGAGCTCAGTGTTAAGAGATTGCCTCAAATCTCTGAAGAAATGGACTTTGAACATTTAAACAGTGTTACAACTGTTAAAACTATGGGGACTTTTGAAGTTGGAATGGATACATTCTGCATAATGAAATGACTGTGAGGCTATAGGAACCAGGGATCAAAGGAGTATCACATTGACAGGACAGATTTGTGATGGCTGATATCATCAGCTTGGGAGGATAGAGATCATCTAGGAGGCAAACCTCTGAGTATGACAGTGGAGGAGTTTCTAGATTGAGCTCATTGAGATAGGAAGACCCTGAATGTAGGTGATGCCAACCCATGGCTTGGGCTCCTGGACTGAAAATAGAATGGAAATGCTCTCTGAGCTATAGTTTATCATCTCTCTTGCTTTCTGCTCCCATGTGTTCTCCACCCTAATGTACCATATCCCTTCCTAAGTTACTTCTTGTCAAGGTATTTTGATCACAATAATGAGAAAAGAAACCAGTACCCAATCCAACAGCCAGTGTGATAAAGGCTGTGCTGGTAGGGTTTACCTCTAACCAGCCATTCTGCATCCTGTGTCTGGATAGCCCCAGGCTGGACTAGAGGGGAAGCCAGCGCAGTTGGCTCCAGGTGAAGGTCTTGGTCTAGTGTGTTAAAGCCCTTGCCCAGGCATTTCCACTGAATGCTGCCATTAGTGGTTGGGGTCCCTCAAAAAGATGTGGCTGAAAAAGATACAAGTGAGGTGACTCCTTTCATGGGCAGCTTTATGGCAACTGTGGCCCTTTCGTGAAGGGACACTTACATAATCAAGTTTATGGCCACAGGGCTCTGAACAGGTTGCATAGCATCCGACTCGGCTATCCCTGGCGGCTGTGGGAATCCATGCCGGTCATCCATGTCATAGGGATGAAAGACGCTTGAGTTTCCTCTAGCTCCGAGTCAGTCTGACAGTCTGTCAGTGACTTCAAGGAAGGCTTTTCACAAGGACCAGCGTAGGCTGCTCGCTCAGGCTCTGAAAGCAATGACTCACCTTCTGCAGCCCCTTTCTGCCCATGCTCTTCCTGTTGTGCTGGCAGAAGAGAATACTGATATTGATCCTGATGTTTGCCAAGCCTCTGCAGTGTGCCAGACACCATGATAAGCAGTTTTTCATGAATCATTTCACCTAATCCTTACCTCACCCTGTGAAACGCAAGATGAGGCTTTCCAGGGAGAGGACTTAGCTCCAGGCTCAGGAAGGGAAGAAAGGAAGGAAAGGGCAGAGAGTAGCATTTGAACCCTGGCCAATCTGATTCTAAGAGGCTTTGCTTCTATACCCTCATGCCCATTCTCCTGAGCCTGCTCAGAGGCAGTGACAAGAGTCAGTATCTAATTGGGGGGCAGCTTGTGGTTGTTGGCATAGTTTCAGTGAAACCCCTTGACCTCTACCACTCACTGTCATGGAAACGCAATCCAGGGTTGTACTATGTTGAGTAGCCTGTGGACTTTAAAGTAGGTGTGGTTTATTGAATCCTTAACCTTGCCTTTGAGGGATATCTGCCTGCCATGGTCTGAAGTTTTTGTCCCTCATATGTTGAAACCTAATCAGAAGTACAATGATATTAAGGGACTTGGCTTGTAGGGAGAGTAGGTTATGAGGGCAGAGACCTCACATGTGGGATCAGTGTTGGTACGAGGAAGCTCTGACAGAGTTGATTCATCACTTTAGCCATGGAGGGTACATGAAAGTCAACATCCATGAAGGAGACAGCCCCATCCAGTGCTATTTTCTAGTTCCAGAACTATGAGCAGTCAATTCCTGCTGTTGATGAATTATCTGGTCTATGGTGTTTTATTATGACAACATGAGCAGTACTGTATTATATTATTGATGGGGAAACTGAGGAACTGAGGCAGTAACCAAGTTCACCCTACCATTGGAACTTGACTATCAAGCAGGCTGACCCTAAAACCTGCTTTAAAAAAATTATTTTATTTTTTACTAATTACAGTTTATTCACTTTGTATCCCAGCTGTAGCCCCCCCCCAACTTCTCCTAATCCCACCTTCCCTCCCTCTTCTTCTCCTATGCCCCTCCTCCAGTCCAAAGATAGGGGAGGTCCTCCTCCCCTTCCATCTGACCCTAGTCTATCAGGTCTTATCAGGACTGGCTGCATTGTCTTTCTCTGTGGACTGATAAGGCTGCTCCCCCCTCAGGTGGAGGTGATCAGAGAGCCAGCCCATGTGTTCATGTCAGAGACAGTCTCTGTTCCTATTATTGGGGAACCCTCTTGGACACTGAACTGCCCTTGGCTACTTCTGTGCAGGTATTCTATGTTGTCTCCATGCATGGTCCTTGGTTGGAGAATCAGTCTCAGAAAAGACCCCTGGGCCCAGATTTTTCAGTTCTGTTGCTCTACTTGTAGGGCTCCTGTCTCCTCCAGGTCTTTCATCTCCCCCTTCTTTCATAATATTCCCTGCACTCTGCCCAAAATTTGGCTATGAGTCTCAGCATCTATTTCAATACCCTGCTGAGTAGAGGCTTTCAGAGTCCCTCTGTGGTAGGCTTTTGTCCTGTTCCCTGTTTTCTCCCTCTTCCGATATCCGTCTTGTTTGCCTTTCTGAATGAAGATTGAGCATCTTACCCAGGGTCCTTCTTCTTGATTAGCTTTCTTAGGTGTACAGATTTTAGTATGATTATCCTATATTATATGTCTATTATCCACTTATAAGTGAGTACATACCACGTGTGTCTTTCTGCTTCTGGGAAACCTCACTCAGGATGATCTTTTCTAGTTCCCACCATTGACCTGCAAATTTCATGATTTCCTTGTTTTTAATTCCTGAGTAGTATTACATTGCATAAATGTACCACAACTTCTGTATCCATTCCTCAACTGAGGGACATCTGGGTTGTTTCCAGCTTCCGGCTATTACAAGTAAAGCTGCTATGAACACGGTTGAGCAAATGTCCTTGT